CGTGCCTTCCATGATAAGTTTCATGTTAATGTCAGGACACTAACAAACCATTTCCATGTTTCTAGAACAGATACACGAGATATCGTGCGACTATGTGACTCCTGTGCCACATACAAACCTGCCATACCGATGGGAGTAAACCCTCGAGGTTTGATCCCTGGTGATGTTTGGCAGATGGACATCACACATATACAGGAGTTTGGGACTCTTAAATATGTTCATGTTTCCACAGACACCTGTTCTCACGTCATATTTGCAACAACAGAAACAGGTAAAAAAGTGTCTAATGTGATCAATCATTGCCTGGCAGCTTGGGCCGCATGGGGCAAACCAAAAATATTAAAAACTGATAATGGACCAGCCTATATAGGCAAAGCCTTCAATAAGTTCTACAAAATGATGGAGGTTCAATTAAAACATGGTATCCCATACAATCCCCAAGGTCAAGAAATCATTGCGAGGGCTCATAGAAGCCTCAAAGAAATTTTACAAAAACAAAAAGGGGGAGTAGGCCAAGGCCTGGCCCCAAAGGCACGATTATCCATGGCACTATTCACACACAATTTTTTAAATTTAAATAATGATAATCGCTCCCCAGCTGTGGAGCACTGCAACCCTTCCCCCAACCATAAAGGGTGGGTGAAGTGGAAAGATGTCCTGACAGGACAATGGATGGGCCCGGATCCAGTGGTCAGCTGGAACCGAGGCGCGGTCTGTGTTTTCCCACAGGAACCGGGACGAGAACCACTGTGGATACCGGAGAGACTGACACGGGCAACAAAGCCCTCGACTGAAGATCAGACCTGCCCTACTGGAGATCCATCACAGACCAACCAACAAGATGAATAGAAATAGCGGTAGCCCAAAATGGACAAGAAGATCCTCAGGCATATGCATGGCTTGCTCAATTGGCCCACGACCGAGTCTAGATATGGCGGGCATCCCTCATTCTCCTCCATAAGGTGACAATACACAGCAGGGTAGGTGAGTCAATGACGGGTAAGAGCGTGCCTCCCCAGCACGACTCGACCTAAGCCAGGCCCTACCCCATCCTGCACGTAAGCCGCTGGACTGTTAGATGCTGCCCAGGTCTAAATTTCTCTCCGAGGGGATTTCTTTACGGAGAGAAAATGAGTGCAAGCTTGTGTGCATCCAGGTTCCGTCCAGTTTGTGCCTGGCCCTAGAAAAAGGACGAGGGCCTCAGGGCCTTGGCAGACCATGGCACGGCCGACCAGGGTCTAAGCCAAGGACCTACGGTGGGCCTACGCATAGGGCATAAGCCTCTGCACCCAGTCCAGGAAGGGCTACGATGCGCACATTCATAAAAAATAAAAAAGGGGGAGATGTTGGGAGCCGCAGCCCCGAGCCCGGTCGCCTCACTTGGCGGACGTGAGGCCTGTAGTAAAGAGTAAAGCCTGAGGTAGATTACCCCTCCCATCGAGCACGTTAGTTTCCTGCTTACCGCGTAAGCAACCCGCTCAACAATATAGTCTGCCTGGCAACTGATGATGTTAGCCAATCAGCTTGCCTTGCTTACTTTAACATGATTGGACACTGTACCCGTATATATACCGGTGCCACCCCTGGGCGGAAGTAGAAGCCAGGTAGAAGCCCAAAAGTAAAAGCCCAAAAGGAGCCGCGGAGAGCGGACCGGTAGAGGCTTTGGGGCAGACTGAAGCACAAAAGGAGCCGCGGGGAGCGGACCAGAGGAGGCTTCAGCTGGGAGAACCCAGGGCAGGCTGTACGGAGAAGGAAAATAAAAAGAAAAGGTTGTCCACTGCCAGACTTTGTCGTGTGTCCTTCCTGCCGGCCGGGAGCGGACATCGACACATACACATGTATATACGATGTTTCTTTCAGCTTACACTAGTGAGACAACGATGTTTACTCAGGTGTCTTAGTTTGGTTCATCTTTTCTATTGCTTTTCTAGTCCCCGCTTCACTTACTTCTAGGCTGCTTCCTCTTAATTTCATTCTGTCTATAATGCTGGGCTTAGTTCATTATAGTTTCTTAGTAGGCAAGGCTGAGTTACTTAAAGTTTTCTCCCTCGCTGCCCTTTTCTTCCTTTTTTTCTTTTCTGTGTCCTCTGCTTCCTTTTTGTCTTTCCTGGCGATTGAACCGAGGCTTCGCACATGTTCAGCACACCCTCCACCACTGAGCTACCCTACAGCCCAGATGTTTGGGTAGAGGCCTTGAGGGTGGATGTCCTCGGTAGACCTGTGCCTGCCACATCTCATGAGTGGGTAGTGTTTCCATTTGGAAGTTGTTTTTTGTTAAATTTACTTTCATAATAAAATTGCAGCCATTACACCTATTAACTGGGTACTGTGTTAAGTTTCCATCACTACGACAAATGCATGAGATAAATTTGTAAAAACAAAAGGTTGGAAAAAAAAGAAAAGAAAAGGTTGAAGCTGTCCATGAAGGCTCACACCTACAATCCCAGCACTCTGAGAGGCTGAGGCAGGAGGGTGGCAAGTTTAAGCCCAGCCTAGGCAACTGAGTGAGACCTGCTTAAAGTCTTAAAGGGCTGGCGTGGAGCTGAGTGTAGAGACCCAGGAGTCAGTTCCTCAGGACAGCAAATTATGTAAGTAGGCTTGCAGTTGGGGGCATATAGTTCTGGAAGTGCCGGTCTATGACTGGCCCCATTGTCTTGGGTTGTACCAACATGAGACACCACAGCTGAGGTGTGTGATAGGCAAAAACCTGCTCAGCTCATGATGAGGAAGCAAGCGAGGACAGACGGGGCGTCCTTTCCCTTCAAAGTGCATGTGCTCAATAACGTGAAGCCACCAGGCCAGACTGCTACAGGTTCTATCACCTCCCATAGCAGCATGCCAGGGCCAAGCCTGTACCACAGCGACCTTAGGGCAATGAGGATTGCAGACCCCGGCCTCGCTCTGGCCATCAGGCTTACTGGCAGCAGATGGAGGCTTTCCACACCACGGCAGACATTTCCGCTAGTGTGCATTTGCATGGGCCTCTGCTCACTGTGCACTCTGTCCCCCCAAACAGCGCTCCTACAGCCCACAGCCCTGCCTCTGCGCATTGTCTGTGCTGTGTCCTGGGTACCCAGCTTCTGTGCAGTCTCTGGGCTTTCTCAGCACACACATGGTGTTTTCAAAGCCAGCACTCAGGCTGAGGCAGGGGCGCTGATGAGTTGAGAGCCAGCCTGGACTATCTAAGGGGAACCTCTCTCTGAAACCAAAAAAAAGTTAAAAATCTATACACAAGTGTGCTATTTTTCTACCAGTTACTCTCACTTTACCTAGCGTCACAGAAAGCACACGTGCTGTCACTGCAAACATGACTGACATCGATCCGGCTGTACAATGACCACCCACCACCAGATGTGGAAGAGTACAGACACAGTCTGCACTCTGGAGACCAAAAGGACCCAGTATGAGGCCTGGGGCTCACTGCAGTGTCCTGGGCAGGTCCGCTGGAAGGCCAAAGGGACAGAATATCTGGCCTTCATCTCCCCTTTACACCAGCCAGCCAGCAGGCCCCCTAGGGTGGGTGTGCCACACCCTAAAGCGTGGAATTGCTGAGCCAGTTTAGTGGAGCCTCTTACTCAAAGTGACACAATCACCCAACCACCACCACCAGCAGCGTCTTTGAGATCTTACACGACTCCACATCCAGCTCTTCTCTTCTGGAAACAACAGTTATTGGCTACCACAAATTCCCCACCATGCAAAGAAGAGGAACTGGAAAATACATGGCACCAAACTGCAGCAGTTTAAACAAAGCAGGAGGTTAGATTCCTCATGGTCCATTCTGTGGCTCCACAGAGGTTTTGGTTTTTGCAGTGCTGGGACTGAACCCAGAGCCTCATGCACGCTTGGCAAGCGCTCTAACCACAAAGCTGCACCCGCCTTCCCCCCTGCCCCCCCAGTCCTAGAGATTGAAACCAAGGCCTTTCACTGAGCTACACCCCCACCCTTTGGTTTGCTATTTTTATTCCAAGACAGGGTCTCACTAAGTCACTTCGTTGCCCAATCTGGGCTGAAACTGATCCCCCTGCCTCAGCCTCCCAGAGTGCTAGATTTACAACCATGGACCACCACACCCAGCTTAATATTTTGTTTTTAAACAGGGTTTTGATAAACTGACCAGGCTCATATCAAGGACTTCATGAGAATATCTCTACAAATTCAGTAAAAAGGAGAATTCATAGGATTTCAAACAAAACTACCCATATTGACCCTAGCTCAGCTCTGTGAGGTAAAGATTCTATGCGAACTGTTGTTGCCCAGAGCATGGGCTCTCTTTTCCTCCCATTTCCACTGATTTCTCTCCCTGAGATGCAAACTTGATTATTTTTCACCCATTCCCAGCTACTGGGGGCTGCACCTTCAGCCTGGAGGATGATCAGATCCAGAGGTGGTAACTCTTTTTTCCAACAAGCCTGCATTTGATTAATGGAGGCTCATCTTCAAGTTCCACATGCTTGAAATGCTTAAGTCAAATCTACACCACCAAAGCCAGATACAGTACTGCAGGCCTGTAATCCCAGCACCTGAGAGGCTGAGGCAGGAGGACTGCAGTGAATCTGCGGCCAGTCTGGACTACGTAGTGACTTCAAAGCCAGCCTGAACTACATAACCAGATCCTGTCTCAAAAAAACCAAATTAAAAAAAAAAAAGTTTCATTGTTTACCAATAATTTATAATTTCATGATTTTACTTTTTGAAAAAGAACTGGGGCTGGGGATTTAGCTCAACAGCTTAAGTGCCTACTTGGCAAGTGTGAGGTCATGAGTTCAATGCCCAGTACCAAAAAAAACCAAATAAACAAAAAAACTGGGAAGTCCAGTTCAGTGGCACAGCCCTGTAATCCCAACACTCAGAAGGCTGAGGCAGGACTACCATGAATTTGAGGCCAATGTGGGCTACACAGTGAGTTCAAGGCCAGCCTGGACTACACAGTGAGACCTTGTCTCAAAAAAATAAAAAATAAATTTAAAAATAAAGTAAAATAAAAACATCTGCGAAAACAGGTTTCAATTCATTTTTTATTCATAGGGTTTTTACCAGTGTGGGCACCAGGCATTCCAAACAGACTTTGATGGACTAAAGCTTTCTCATACATGCTACATTTGTGGTGTTTCTCACCAATATGAGTTTTTTCCCGTACTCGGAATAATCAAATTTCCTTAGCCGCCTCAGAGACCCTACATTTGTCAGATGAGTCTCCACTGTTATTATGCATCTTTGAATGCCTGGAAGGCAAATGGAGGCTTTGCCATCCCTTGAGTCAGAGGAATCCTACACAACGTGGGCACTTTCGTGCCTGAGGACTGCGCTGGGAGAACCGAAGGCCTTCCCACAGAATTTACACTTGTAGGGCCCGTCTCCAGTGTGCCTAATCACGTGTCCCTGCAGGCCGGAGAGAGAAATGTAGGCCTTTCCACACTGCTTACATTCGTAGGGTTTCTCCCCAGTGTGAGTCCTTTCGTGTTTTCGGACGGAAGTGGAGCAGATGAAGGCTTTGCCACAGTGCCTGCAAGGGTACGGCTTCTCTCCCGTGTGAGTTCTCTCGTGCTTCTTTAGGGCACTGGGGGAGTTAAAAACTTTGCCACATTCCTTACACTGATGAGGCCCACCTCCGGTATGCCTCATGGTGTGTCCCTGCAGGCCTGAGAGGGAGCTGAAGGCTTTTCCACACTCCTTACATGAGTAGGGTTTCTCTCCAGTGTGGGTTCTTTGGTGTCTTCGAACCGAACCTAAACAGCTAAAGGCTTTCCCACACTGGGCACACTGAAAGGGCTTCTCTCCCGTGTGAATCCTTTCATGGATCTTGAGCGAGCTGGGGTACTGCAAGCCTTTCCCACACACGGAACACTTGTGTGGTCCACCTCCGGCGTGTGCTATCACGTATCCTCCCAGGCTGGTGACCGAAATGAAGGCCTCCTCATGTGCTGGGCATTCACGGGGCTTCTCTCCAGGGTGACTCCTGTCATCAATTGGGAAAGGGCAATCACAGCTCAAGGCCTTCTCACACTGCCCACAGGTGTACAGTTTCCTTTCTGATTCCTGCTGTTCCTGTAGTTCTGGTCCCGTGGGGGATGAGATGGGGTCAGATGAGCATGACCGGGACAGGACTATTCCACACACACGGCAGTGCTGGGATTCTACTGCCGGAAGGGTTTTCTGCTCCCAGTTCTGAGCTGGAACCGGGGTGAAGGTTTCTTCACAGCGACCACCTGCATCACCTTCACAGAGGCGCTCTACAATGTGACTGCTGAAAGAAATGAAAACAGTATGGCGTGCTTACTAATAATTCACACTTCTTCATAGCTTAAAGTTACTTTTTTATTGTTACTGGGGAAAGCACAGGTTTGTTTACTCTTGTCTGAGTTGTTTCAAAGTGTTCAATCTCTAAGAAACGTTTCCTATTTTGCAAACATTGGGCATCTAACATTTCAATACATATTTCTGGTGCAAATTTATAGAGCTGAGCTGATTTACGATTTTAAATTTTACTATGACATACTAATACTGTTGTGTGGGATACTGGTTTCTCCTTTCACTGTAAATTACCTTAAATTTCTCCCCTGATTTCTGTACCAATCTTCAATGTTCTGGTTCCATTTTTCCCCTGTAATGCAGAGCCAGAAAAATCATTCTGAGTTGTCAGAAGGAGGAGAAAACATATTAGATGCTATTTTCACAGTGGACTGCCACCAGGCCATTAATTTACTGAAGTACCCCTTCCCACATCTCAGACCATGATACGGCTCTGCTGGACAAGAAAGACATGTCTTCTAATTCAGTAAAGAGAGGCTGTCTTCTTACCAATGAAGGCCAAGTCCATAAAGATTTCCCCCACAACATCTCGGTAGAGTTCTCTCTGGGAAGAATCCAGCAGGTCCCACTCATCCAGGGTGAAGTTCACAACCACATCCTCAAAGGTCACCGAGTCCTGAAACATCCCAGATGTGTTTACAGTGGTGACACAGACTAGACGCCCTCTGTTCAATCTGTTTTTTAAAAAAGCTCATATTCACTTCTGTTGGATCTACATTTAGTCTACGGAAAATGAAGGTGGCTGTCAGATTCTAACCTCTGCCCAAGGTCACTGTCTCAGAAGTCTCTCAGCACTGAGCACATGTGGAACTGGTCTCCATGTTTATATATTTATAGTGTGTGTGTGCACGTGTGTTGGGGGGGATCAAACTCAGGGCCTGGTGCAAGATGGCAAGCACTCCACCACTGACTACATCCCAGCCCACCATGTCTGATTATATTCAAAACTGAGGCAGAAATAAGACACTTCTGTGACAAAGACTACCTGAAGAAATTCAGGACCACCAAACCAGCACTCCAAAGTGTTCTGAAGCACATTCTAGAAAGAGATAATGAGGACTACACTCCATGACCCCTAACAGGATGAACCCATGGGGTAATTAAACGGGGATAGTAACAGGAAAGGGTAAGTCAGTACATACCAGTTATAACAGTGTACAGCGTAAATGGTCTCCAGTCACCAATCAAAAGACAAAGACTGGCAGAATGGATCAAGAAGCAAGGTCCAACAGTGTGCTGCACATAAGACCCATTTAACACAAAAAGAAATTCATAGACTGAAAGTCACAGGGTAAAAAACAATACTTCATGCAACAGGAACCCAGAAGACAGCAGGGGTAGCTATTCTATTAGCAGACAAAGTGGATTTCAAGCCAACACTGATTAAGAGAGACAAAGAAGATCTCTAAATCTTAGAACAAGCCAAGAGAAAGAAATAAAAATCAAATATATATGCAAAAAATAAACATTTTGCACCAAATATCAGCATACCCAACTATATAAAACTAACATTAATGACATGAAAAATCAAATGAGCACTAACACAGCTGCAAAGAGGGGCCTCAATATCCCACCGTCATAAATGGGCAGATCAACTGGACAAAAAATCTAAGAAGAAATATCAGAACTAAAGCAAATGTTTGAACAGATGTACTCAGGAGATGTCTGCAGTGTGCTACCTCACAACACCAGAATACATATTCTCTTCAGCTACAGAGGGCAGCATGCACTACCTCACAGAACTTGCTTAAATGCAAAGGAATTGAAACTATCCCATGCACATTATCAGACGCACTGCAATGAAACTGGGTATCAATGGCAAAGGAATCCACAGGAACTTCATAAAGACATGGAAATTAAGTAACACCCTAGTCAACAACCAATGGCTCACAAATGAAATTAAACAAGAAATTAGGCAGTTTCTACAATTAAACAATATAACAGATTGGAACTTATGGACACAATGAATGCAGTCCTATGAGGGAGATATATAACGGTGACTTCCCATAGCAGAAAAACAGAAGAAACTCAAATAATCCAATGTTGAACCTCAAGCTTCTAGATAAGAAGAGCAAGTCAAGCACAAAGCTCACACAAGGGGGGTAATTATAAAAATCAGACAGAAATGAATGCAGTAGGTTAAGAAAACAGTACAAAGAACCACTGAATCAAACAGCTGGTTCTTTTTTTTTTTTTGTCTTTTTCTTTTTTATCGGTACCGGGGATCGAACTCATGACTACCTGCTTGCAAGGCAGGCGCTTATGCCGCTGAACTAAATCCCCAGCCCCTAACAGCTGGTTCTTTGAAAGAGTAAATAAAACTGTCAAGCCATTAGTCAACCTTATTTAAAAAAAAAGGAAAGAAATGACTCAAATTCAAGCAATTAGGAATGAAAAGGGGTGAAATCACAACAGATCCTGCAGAAATCCATAGGAGCATCAATACCTACTTCAAGAACTTTTACTCCAATAAGATGGAAAATACAGAAGAATTAGACAGTTCCTAGGTACATGTGAATCACCAAAGATGAATTAAGAAGATATAAGAAATTTTAAATAACCTGATATCAGTCAGTGAAACTGACGATGTAATTAAAAACCTATCAAAGAAAATCTTAGGTCCTGATAGGAGTCACTGCTGAATGCTACAAGAAATTTAGAGAAGATCTAATGCCACTACTTCCCAAACTCTTTAATGAAACTGAAAGGGAAATAATATTCCCACATTCATTCCTGAAAACAAACATTACCCTGATACCAACACCAGAGAAAGGTCTAACCAATAACAAGACAACTATAGAGCAATCTCCCTCACGAATATAGATGTAAAAAGTCCTTGCTAAGATACTGGGAAACAGAATGCCAAAGGATGCAAGGATGGTGCAACACACGAATCAATAAATGTGTTACACAGTATTAACAGAACCAAGGAGAAAAACTGTATGGTCATCTCAATAGATGCAGAAAACACATTTGACAAAGTTCAATATCCCTTCATGATTTTAAAAAAAACGCTACAGAAAGTTTGAATTGATGGCCTTTACCTCAATCTGATAAAAGCTATTCTGTGACAAACCAACCACCAATATTATACTAACTGGTCAAAAAATGAAATTTTTCACTCTAAAATCATGAACAAGACAAGATGTCCACTATCACTCCTATTCAATATGGTTCTGGAAACAATAGCCAGAGCAACTGGATAGGAGGAAGAAGAATAGGAAAGGAAAAAGTTAAATTATCACTACTTGGGGATGACATGATGGTCTACTCAGAAGACCCCAAAAACTCTACCAAAAGACTTCTTAATTCAATAACCAAATTCAGTAGCACAGCTGGATACCATGTCGACACTCAAAAATCAATAGCCTTCCTGTACACAAATAACACTCACCAAGAGAGAAATTAGGGAGACAGCACCTTTAACAATAGCATCCCAAAAAATGAAACATTTGGGACTTCCGGGAGAACATGGCGGACAGATAACAGCAACTACCGGAGGCTCTCTGAAAGACTCGGCTCAGAAGCCAGGAATGGTGCGGACTAAGGAGACATAAGTCGGTGGAGATATGCTCTGCTGACTCAGGAACGAACTGGGCTGAGAGAAGCCAACTTGGAATGCAGTCCTGGTGCTAAAACAGGAACAGAAAAGCCTCGGTGTGGAGGCTGGACCCCGCGCCATTGTAAGCGGCGATTTGGGTTTCCCGCCGCACAGCGGCTGGCTGCCTATACAGCGGCTCGGCAAGGAGAGAGACGCGCGGAAGCTCTGAGAACGGCAATCTGCGAACGGCAGGGAGGCGTGCACTGACTTGTGGTGAGGTGAGTGAGTGAGAGAAACTGACACTCCACCACAGTTTGACTCCAGCAGAGGACTTTCTGGGCCCGGGCAGTCCTGCGGGAGCAGGGCGCGGTGGGACTCCAGCCACACATCCCCCTCTCGGGCGGGATTGGTGAAAAGTGCCTGGCCTGCGTGACGCTGCCGGCAGACCTGGTAGACTGTCCCAACCCAGATCCCAGAGCCTGACGGTGGCCGGGAGGGGAGACGCGTAGGCTGCCTGGTCCGTAACTCCCTGGTGCACAGCGGTGAGCGGGAACAACTAACTGGCGCAATTCGATCAGGCTGTGGCTGACTGGGAGAGAAGCTGGGCCTCTTATATAAGCTTGCATATATAAGGAACAGAGAAGAAGAAGCAGCATGGGAAGAGGCAGCAACAAGAAAGGCTCCTCGGCCCCCAATTCTGAGAAACAGGCAATAGCAGACACCACACCAATACACATAAGGCACCATATAGAGAGCCTCATAGACCAATTCAGGAATGAAGTTATCAATGACCTGAAGCTAGAAGTATGCAGAATAGTTAGAGAAATGCTAAGTACCACCCAAGAAAAAACAGGTGGTGGAATGGAAGAACAGAAAAAAAGGGGAGAATTGTTTGATGGAGAAAACAGAGAAAGCATAGAATACGTGAAGCAGGTTCAAAGGGACTACCAAGATACTAAGAAGTCTATAGAAGACTGGCATAACAGCTTGAAAGAAACTAAGGACAGACTATCTGAACTGGAGGGCAGACTTGTAATATGGGAGAATGAAATGAAAAACTTCTTAAAAATAACAAAGAAACAAACAGCAATAATACAAAGACAAGAAGATGATAAGAGGATCCATAACTTAAGGATTAAGAACATAAAAGAAGAAGTAGGGACACAAACAAGTGAACTACAAAAGCTACTCACAGAAATAATCCAGGAGAATTTTCCTAATTTAGCAAAAGGTAAAGATACTCAGATGTATGAGGCATACAGGACCCCAGCTACCTACAACCCAAACAGAGCAACACCCAGGCATATAATAATAAAAATTCCAGAAATTCAATACAAGAACAGAATATTAAAAGCTGTAAGAGACAAGAAACAGACCACCTACAAGGGAACACCCATCAGAATTACAGCAGATTCCTCTGCACAAACCATCAAATCACAAAGAGCGTGGGGGGAAATAATTCAAGCATTGAAAGATAATAATCTCCAGCCAAGATTGAGATATCCTGCACAACTGTCCCTGGAAATTGATGGAAAAACAAGGTGCTTCCAGGATAAAGAGGAACTGGGGGAATTTGCAACCACCAATTCAACTCTACAGAGAGTATTGCAGGATATTCTAAAAAAAGAAAAATACAAAGAATCCAGAAATAATGGCAGAGAGGCCACAACGAATGGAGCAGAGAACAAAATGAAGAAGACAAACTGACAGCTACGGACAGAAAAAGAGCTTAACAGAAATGAGGCAGAGAAGATTGGATGATAGGAACAGCTATTTTGGAGAAAATGACATCTTAATAGGTAATACAGATTTAGTATCATCTTGTTTTGAAGTCTCATCTAGCTTTTGTCCTTCTGTCTCCAATGGTCTAAATAGGCTGTATCTTATTGGATTTTATTATGTACGATAGTATAAGCAAAAACCTTTTAAAGACAAGGAGATTATACAGAAACCATTGTTCATTTTGTTAGTCGATTCTAAATACTCTGTAATGCTGTCATTCTCTTGAATGGTTTTACATTGTTTTGATATACTTAATGCTACAGTATACGAAGTTGTACTCAAGGATTTCAAAG